CGTCACGGACATCAACGTCACCGGACTCCTCCCCCCTTCCCCAAGTGGCTGTCGGCTAACGAAGGGAAGGGGGAGGAGTCCAGTGACGTCGATGTCCATGACGTCACTGGACTCCTCCCCCTTCCCTTCGTTATCCGACTAAAAGGCCTTTATCACCAGGTCTGACAGGGTGCTAAATCTAGGGGACTTTTCACAATACTTATCCAGTGATAAAGCTGTCTACTTTTCTCCCTTTATTAAACAGGTACATTCCCATTACTTTCTGTGTACTTATCACCAGGATGAGAAGAGGTGAGATATTTTAGTTGGATCTGTGTGTGCGTTATAATTAATCGAAATTAATCGTTTTAAAACAATTTCGATTAATCGAACAGGATCCAGGGACTCCTGGTTTGCATATATAATGAATACATTTTCAAGCTGGCCAACTGCTTCAAAGTGATCCTTCTCTAGCCTTTTACCTACTCTACTCAATACCAAATGCTTACTTGCTTACTCTTTAAGAAGTTTAATTCAGAATCTGTTTTTTGATGCCACATTTATACATTAACATATTATATTTTGAATGTCTCTAGTTCTTCTTTTGCATGTGAAGATTACAATAATTCAATTGTGTGTAAAACCTTTTCCACACCAGCAGAGACAATATAAAAAAAATGTGTTCCTGACATCAGTGCACCTTTCAACATATCCTGCAGATGCAGCTCTAACCTGAAAGATATGCACGCCTGGACAGTAGCATCTGATCAGCGTACTGGAAAATATTATGTGCGACTTGTCAGTCTCGTTTTATTCCTCTTTAATTAAATGTAGGTTTTCGTAACTTTAATTATGCATTCTTTTTTGTTCATGTAGGAGAAGCACAAGAACTCCCCATGGAGGAGTCTCCTCTCCTCAGCTTGCCACTGCACTAGAACCTTTTGGCATAAACATTCCATTAACATAAATTGGTCCCTGCAATGTCCCCAGAACTCTTTAATGAGACTCGCTCTTTAACTCATTAGTGCAGATGTGGGCTCATATGTCAAAAATCTGCATTGCAGAATCACCATTCCTGGCGTTTATTAAGTCCATAACTCGTTTGCATTGACATGCTGTGTTAATCAATATTTTTTTTTAAAGTCTGAATATGTCACTTATGCTCATTTTAAGTGCACTGATGGCGACAGCATGGAAGTTGCCAGTGGAATTTGAGACTAGACTACAATCAAAATCTTAATTCTCTTGTTGTCTTAAGGCTATAAGTTAATGAGACTGCAACTTGAAATGCCCTCATTTAAAAAATATGTATATGCATTCATTTATTGTTTAAAAAATACTAGCTGTAGTATACTGGTTGCTTCCCTATACTCCATATATAGGTTTTTGAACTCAAACACAGGGATCAAATATTTGTAAATGCTTAGGTGGGAACAGGATATTGTCTTTATAGTTTTAAAGCTTTTCAGGAACCTAACTTGCCTTCTTAGCTATCATTATGGAGCTCATATGAAACTTCTGCAGGTTGTTTTTGTTGTTTGGTCAGCGCTACACCAACACTAAAAGAATACAGAATGCAGCTATTGGCAGCAAATGGAAACAAAAACAATCAGATACAGGGGTTTTTCTTAAAGTAATTTGATAAATTAGACAAGAATTATTGGATTAAACATTTTTATATGTGCTATTAGCTGTGGCATAGCCAGTCAAAGGCTAAAGCATGGAATAAATAGTGAATGAAGACACTCCCTCATTTATTTCAAGTTGTTAGGTTTATGTATTGGATTATGAGCAGCAGATTCATAGCAGTATTCAAGCTTGAAATTTCGATTTTGAGGTCTTTGTACCATATATATATGTTCCAGTCTGTGTCGCTTTGAGATATACTAAGAACCAAAGGTCTTGCTGCACTCCTTACCAGAACATCCAACGACCCGTGCAAACGGGTGGGTGCTTGTAGTGACCCCGGGTGGCACCGTGAAGCATTGAATGGCAATGTGTCATTAAACGGACTATTGCTAAAATTACTATTTGGAGTGCTGGTGACTTTATTTCTTGCTTTGAGATATACAACCCCAATTCCAATAAAGTTGGGATGCTGTGTAAAATCTACCTAAAAACAGAATGCAAATCTCATAAACCCAAATTTTATTCTCAATAGAAAACTTATCAAATGTTTAACTGAGAAAATGTACCATTTTAAGAAAAAAATAAGGTAATTTTGAAATTGATGGCAGCAACACGTCTCAAAAAAGTTGAGCCAGGGACACAAAAAGATGGCAAAGTAAGTGATACTGAAGGTGCCCATACACCTTACGATTATCGTACGATAATCGTATGCGATCGACTTTTCGTACGACAATTGTAACGTGTGAATAGAGTGCCCGACCGATAGTACTGTACAATCGTACGACTTTTGACGGTCGAGCATGTTTGAAAACTTTGGTCGATCGTATGATGTTCGCATGGTTGGTGGCGTTTCCGTCCGTCAAAAGTCGTACGATTAACACTGCGCATGCGCAAACTAAAATAATTGCGGTCAATTACCGCAAGTCGTCCAGGTGGTTTTTTTTAGCTACCGCTGATTGAAACGTGCGATAATCGGGGCAGGATGGGGCCGTCGTACAAAAATCGTACGACGGTTCGATCATCGGATGAAAAGTTTCGTCCGATAATCGTAAGGTGTAATGGCACCTTAACAAGGAAGAGCTGGAAGAACATTTTGCAACTAATTAGGTTAATTGACAACAGGTCAGTAATATGATTGGGTAAAAAAAAAGAGCATCTTAGAGAGTCAGAAGTCTCTCTAAAGATGGGCAGAGGTTCACCAATCTGTGAAAAGCTGCATCTAATAATTGTCGTAGCATCAATTTTTTGTAATTAGGGTTGTGTGTGTATATATGTGTGTGTGTATTTTATTGACAACATAGCCATCAGACCACATACGTTCTTTGTTAAGCAACGCTAGAAATGCCAGTGCAGTATATGCAATTCTTTTTTGAATTGTGAATGTAAGATAAAACTCCCGTTTTTTGGAATTTGGGTTGCAAAATATGTGAGTTTTGTATATGTTACTGGTGCTACAACTAATGTGGAGCATTCTAAAAAAAAATATTCTCTGAAATAGACATATCCATGCTCATTATAAAAGGCTAGCAAATGCATAGAAAACACTCTGCTGACAATGCACGCCTGCAGTCTGATATTTAGTGTGGCTATATATTATGATCTGGGAATTTTCTAAATGTGAGATTTTATTGGGTAAAAAATGTTTGGGAAAAATATAGAACACAATCCTTCATAGTATAGGGATCCTGTACTGATTGTAATGTGTATGTTTAGTGACCCAAAACAAATGTGTAACAATAGTCAGAGTGAAGTTACATTTTTAGATCTGCATGCTTGTTACAGATCAGAGACTCAAGAAATACAGTAAACTACAGTTATCCCCGCCCACTGAGCAGAGTAGCGGACCTAAGAGAGAAAGTCCCCCCCCCCCCCCCCCCCCCC